TGTGCGGAAGCGGGTTATTGCCGCGGGGCCGGTGCCAGGCGCTCCCCGCAGCCCTCCGGCCCCGATCGGGGGCACCGGGCACCGACCGGCCCTGCCCAGCGCCTCCCGCAGGCCCCGGGGCCTCCGGGCACGGCTTGAACCCCTGGGGGATACGGAGAGGCGCGGTGCTGCCTGCTCGTGCCCTTGTAGCCATAACTTTATTCTGATCAACCACGCTCGCTGGGGCTCGGAGACACTGCCGGGCTCGGTGCGGGTGCGGTGCGGGTGCGGTGCGGGTGCCGTCCATCTCCCGCCTAGGCTGAATAGCAATCATTATCATCTACAATCCTAAACTCACCCTCCTCAACTTCTACCTATACGCTATAATAACTGCAACCCTTTTCCTCAGCCTAAACACAATCAAAGTCCTAAAGCTATCTACCCTAATAACTGCATGGACCAAAATTCCGTCCCTGAACGCAATACTACTCCGAACCCCACTCTCTCTCGCAGGACTCCCTCCCCTGACAGGATTCCTGCCCAAATCCTGGATTTGGGGTACCCGGGATTCCTGCGGGGTGCTCGGTGTAGTGTGGGGTGCTCGGTGCAGTGTGGGGTGCTCGGTGCTCGGTGCAGTGTGGGGTGCTGGGTGCGGGTGCAGTGTGGGGTGCTCAGTGCAGTGTGGGGTGCTCAGTGCAGTGTGGGGTGCTCGGTGCGGGTGCAGTGTGGGGTGCCCGCTGCTCCCCGCGGCAGCGCCGCCTCCTCCTCCCCGGCAGATGTTTGCATCCCTCACGGAGACTTGCAACCGCTGTTGGAGACAGCTGGCAAACGCCGCCAGAAACGCGTGTCTGGGAAGTACCTATCGGTGCAGAAGGTAAAGGCGGAGCTGCAATTAGGAGGGAGCAGTTCATCTCACTTTTTAATTTGCGGCTAGCGGCGCCGGCTCTGAGCGGTGGATCCTGCAGCAAGCGCCTCTCCCAGCGGTCCCTCTCCCCGCGGCCGCGATACTGGAAGGCACTCGGAGTGTCCGGGCCGGGTGAAAGCCCATCACCCTCATTTTAACGCCCGGGTTCTCTGGCCTGAGGGACGACTCATGTCCCGGGGGAAGGAGTGCCTAAAGCAAAGTCTCGGGGCGGCTGGCAGGGATACAACGAAAGTCTTGCACGAAAAACATCACGGCAGCAAACGGAGGGAGAGCGGAGGGAAGACAGCGAGCGTGTTATATGGGAAGCGTTAAAAATTAATAGCACTGAGAAGTGATGAGAGGTAACGGGATTTCAGGAGCTCATCACAGGAGACCAGACGTGAGGGAAAGGGCGGGAGAAGCCATCACTCGCTGAAATGGTCGCGCTGTCCCGCGTGGCTGTCGGTTTGGGCATCCCTCTGGCAGGGTGTAGGCATTTCCTTCCTCTCTGCCTGCGCCGGGGACTCTGGCTGGGAGTTGCTGTCGGAACGAGAGAGCCCGCAGGCGTCGGGGCTGTGACAGCGCTGGTTAGGGCCTTGTCGGGACCGGGTGACAGCGGCCTACGGTACTGGGCTTTCCCCCAGCGCACACGCCCCGAGTAGAGCGACCCCTTCGTTACCCCGCGGAGAGCTCAGAGCTCTTCCTTTTCCCCCTCCCAGCGGCCACTCCGGCCCGCCCGCCGGCCGTGGGCTTCCCCTTGTAACCTGCGTCCCCCCTGTGGCACTGCGGTGCGGATCCCGCCCGCGTCCATATGTCCACATCCATATGCATGCGTCCCGCGGGCAGCAGCTGCCGGCCGGGAGCGGGGTGCGGGCGGTGGGGTGGCCCCCGGCCCCTCTTTTGCTTCCCGTACCTCCCCTGCCTCCCTCCCTCCATCCCTCCCCGCAGTCTCGGGGTGCCCACGGCTATTGCAGGGCGCGGAATGGGGCCGGCCCCTGGGGCGCTTCTACGGGGAAGGAAATTTTTTCCTCTGTCCGTGGTGACGCTCGCTTGGGCTGGAGACGGACCGCAGCGGGCTCCTTTTGCGAAGTGCCGCGACAAAGCAGAGGCGTCGGAAAAGTAGGGAGGATGCTTTGGGCACTCTGGGATTGCACAGCCGGGAACTTCTCCCGCGATATCTTCTGCACCCCAGAGAAGGCACATGACAGGGACCGAGGCAGGGTAAACCCAGCCGCCTCTACTTCCCCTGAGCCGGGAAATCCCAGAAACAGCTGGTTTTATTTCCGCTTAGCCTGGAAGTTCCGCGCACGGAAGGGAGTGGGGTTTAAAACCGAGGGCTCTGTGAGAGAAGGAAAGGAAAGCCAAAAGCTGTGTGCGAAGGGAGTTGTCGGGAGCGGCCCGCGGTGTCTCTCACGGCTTGGGCAGGGGCCCTCCCGCCCAGCTCCGCGGCCGCGCAGCCGGCGCCCGCCTCTCCCCACGCGTGTGCGCAGCTGCTCGCTGCCCGCGGGGGTTTCGGCCCGGGCCCGAGCTCGGGGCGGCTGCCGAGGAGAGGCTCCCATTCCCTATTGACATGGTCCTGCAGCACTTTTTAAATGTCGTTTTCGCGGAGTTTATACAGTTCCGTCACAAATTCCTGCCTGCATGAAGGACTGAGCCGAAAGTGCCGCGGATCTCGGCCAGGCCCCCGCGCACGGGGGGAACCTCGCGCCCCCTGAAGCCAGCTGACATTTGTCTTTTAATTGTTCACCGTGCTGTCCGTGGCAGCGATCCAGAGGTTAGCTATTGAATCTCTTCCTAAAAAGTCCTTTCCTGGAGGAGAAGGAGCCCAGCCGGCTTTGGCTTCCAAAACATGTCCCGAAAAGGGGGGCCGCGAGCTCGCGTGAATCCCCTGCTCTTTCTTCCAGCGCCCCAGACAAAACCAGCCTAACCAAGCGGACAGCGTTGGGCTCTTTTCCCTGCGATTCCACTTTGACGGTGCCAACTGCAACTGGTGGCCAGCTGGGTCTCCGTGCAGAAGTAAATTAACTGGAAAGCCTCAGTCGGTGCTGCGGTGAACTGGAAAAGGGGCCGGGGACCGGCGGAGCACGGGCGGCAGCCCGGGGGCGCACGGCAGGGCGCGGGCAGGGGCCGGGGCCGGGGCCGGGCTGCCGGCGAGCGGGGCTGAGGGTGTGTGAGCCCCCGGCCGGGCTCCGGCGGCTCCCCGCCAAACCCGGGGATCCGGACCCCGCGCTATTTTCATTTCTCTCCCGCCGCCCCGCAAAACCCGCGGGGATATCGCAGCGGCGTGAGCCGGCAGGGCCGAGGCAGCTCCCCGGCAAACGACCGGCCTTTCCCTTCCTGCCTTTACAACTAGTCGGGAAAGACGGGGGTGGGAGTGTCGGTGGACGATGGGCAGCCCCCGGTACCCCGGCCAGGGAGAGCCGGGGCAGCCGCGCCGAGGCAGCCGAGGAAGAGCGCAGGGCTCGTTCCCTCCTCCCGGCCCCGGCATTGTGTAAGCCGAAAGAGGAATAAAACCCTGCTCTACCTTTTTTTCTTCCTTTTTTTTTTTTTTTTTTCCTCCTGTTTAGAAAATTATTCTCAAATAGAATCATTTATTTATTTGTTTCCTCCAGAATAGTTGGCTCTTTTTCTCTCTCATATCAGAGATTCTGTTTGCTCTGCTGGTCCTTGGAAAGGAAAAAAAAAAAAAAAAAAAAAAAAAAAAAAAAAAAAAAAAAGCGATTGTTTCTGGACTGTTTAGATATGGAAATGATCGCGTCAGATAATGAGTTTCAATTTAAACCAGTTCTGGTATTGGGTCTATTTGTTCTAGACACTTAGCCGGGCTCTTATTTTATCCACTGTTTTCTTCTTGGAAAGCGGTTTATTTCCCATAATAATGGTAACACTCTGCCGTTAATAAAGCCCTGCATTGCCCGCCTCTGAGAAAGTTGAAACAGCCTAATTTAGGCTGAGTGGCCGGGTGGAAAATACCTGCCCGCTCACGTCCCCAAACAACCACGGCTCATTTTATTTGTATCCTTCTTGATTTCCCACAGTAAAATAGTCAACTTCCAATCTTAAAAAAAAAGAAAAAAAGCGCTCAAACAACAAAAGTCTTCAAACAAACCAAACAACAACAAAAACCTTACTACTGAGAATCAACAAAAAATTATCTCTTCTCTTTTTTTCCTCCCCTTTTCCGTGGTTTCATTATTTAATCTCTGATAAAATTAGATTATCTGTACCCTTTAGTGAAGGCAGCAGACGTCTTTAACTGGTTTAATTGATTTATCGTTTTGTTGTTTTGTTTGTTGTTTTTTTTTAACAGAAAGTGCATTACATTTAACTGGTCTTGCAAAGGGCTTTTCTTCTCTTTACAAACAGAATTATTTTTAATATAAATTAATAAATGTTAAGATGCTATATCACGATATATCATCGTTATTAGCTTAAAAAAAAAAAGAAAAAACAATTTACATTCTCTAGTATTCCGTATGATACAAAAGAAAACACACTTTAAATTCAAATACAGCAACTAAATGAATTTTATACTTTGACTGACAGTGGTTGTGACAATTCCCACCAGCTACTTTTTCAACGCGCGGTTGATTGGAAACGGTGTAAATGAAAGCAAACTCTGTCCCTCCGCCCTCTCCCCCCCCCCACCCTCCGCCCTCCCTTGCACGACGACCGCAACAGAAAGTGTTTCAAAAATACTAATAAATAGCACGCGGGGCCGCTGCAGTTTCGGCCCGAGGGAGGCACCGGTGGCGGCCACGGCGGCTTTTTCCTCGGCGGTGCCCCCGGTGCTGCCGGAGAGCGCGGGGCGGGCGGGACGGCTGCGCCCTCGGCCCCCGCTGTACAAAAAAAAAAAAAAAAAAAAAAAAAGAAAAGAAAAAAAAAAAAAAGAATGTATATTACATTTTAAATATTCACAGTAAGGAACGCCTATGGTCGCGGTGACTCACGGTTTATTTACAAAGAGCCGGCAAAGACGCGGCCGCCGCACGGCCGGGAGCGGGGCCGGGGTCGGGCCAGCCCCGCCGCTCCCCTCCGCCCGCCACCCTACAACAACAACAACGCGCGGCGCGGGGTCCGGGCGCGCCCGCCGGGGCCCGCTGCCCGCAGTCCTCTCTGCTCTCCCTCCGGCGTCTGCTCCTCCTCCCGGGCGCGTAGGGTCTAGAAAAATAGATCTGTACATCTCCGAAAGCGGCGGAGGGCGACGCAGGCTAGACGGAGGCCTCCCCCTCCGGGGGATGCAGCAACAGCCCGCCGCCCCCCGGCTTGTGTTTCTTCAGGAGCTGCGTTATCTTCTCATCGTCCGAATTGGGGTCCAGGGGCTTGTTGTAGTCATCGTCCTCCTCCTCGTTCTCCGAGGCGCCCTTCAGCCGCTCCGTCTCCGAGTCCTGCTTCTTCTTTGCCGTCGCCATCTCCGCCGCGTGCTTCTTCCTCCACTTGGTCCGTCGGTTCTGGAACCAGACCTGCCCCCGCCGCCACCGTCACCATCGCTGGCACGGCCACCTGCGGCGGCGGGACCGGGCCGCTCCCGCCCCGCTGCCCCGTCACTGCCCATCCCCGGCGTGCGGCAGCGATCCCCGCTTCGCCGCCCTTTGGGCAATTTCCCCACAACGAAAGCGGCCGATCCCCGCGGCACCGCGCTCCCGGCAGCCGCCGACACCCGGCCCGGCGCGGGCCGACAGCCGTGCCCAGCTCCCCCGAGGCTCCCTGCCATCCTGCCTGGGGCGGGGATACACACATTTGGGGCTGACGCCTTCCCCAGCCCCCCTGCCCCGCCAGATGTATTTACTCTCCGGCAGGGCGCTGCCAGAGGAGGGGGCATTTTCATTGTAGAAGCTGCAATAATTTATTCGCAGCCATCGGGACGTATTTGCGGTGACAAAGAAGGCTCTGCAGATCAGACTGAAAGCGTGAGCACCGCCGAGGGGCCCCTCTGGCCCAGTCCACCAAGCAAACGCCTCTGCATGCTCTCAGGGAGCTCAGCCCGCTCTCCCAACCCCTCACACCTCCGCTTTGACCAAAACACAGAGTTTTTAACCAAAACGTAAGAGTGCGGGCGCGGCAGTGCGACACCCTAACATCCCCCTTTCCCGGCTTTCCCAGAATGCTTGCCACCCCCATGGTGTTCAGAGCTTCTCAGTCTTACTTGGGTTTGTTCGGTTCAATTTGATCGGTTTTTAAAATGGTTTAAAACTACTTTCTCGGCCCCGCAGTGAGGCAATAAAGGGAGAAATGCCGGTGGTTGCCGGGGAAGCCCTCGCCAGCCCGCAGCATCTCCGGCTGGTTCAGACGGGACCCCGTTTCCGCGGTGGGGCCCTTTTGTTCCCCGCTCCTCCAGCCCCGCACCACTCGGTGCGTGAGCCATTGCTCTCACCTTTACTTGGCTCTCCGTCATCCCCAGGGAATACGCCAGCCGGGCTCGCTCCGGGCCCGCCAGGTATTTCGTCTGTTCAAAAGTCTTTTCCAGAGCGAAAATCTGCTGGCCAGAAAAAGTGGGTCTTGTATGTTTTCTCTTTCCGTCCTTATCCAGCAAAATTGAGCCTTGATCTGGCGAAGGGAGGGGGGGAGAGAAAGGGAAGGCAGGGACAGACAAGTTAATCTACGGATTTGGGAAAGCGCTTCACTCTCAAGCGGCCCCAGGGGACGGAGGGGTCTCTGCGCGGGGGGTGCGTGTGTAAGAAAACTACTGCCTAAGCCAAGCGACGGCTCTGGCCCTTCGGCTCTCCTTGATTATTTTTGATTATAAAATCTGAGCGGGCAAATGATTTTTTTTTTTTTTTTTTTTTTTAAGCCACGGCTGGTGCAAGCGGGTGGTAGCAGAAAGTCCTGCTCGGGGAAAGTTTGTGCGCGCCCCTAAAGCCAACCCCGGCCCCGAGAGTCCCCAGCAGCGGCAGCGCGGCTAATTTCGCCTCGGAGGGTTTCGCTTTTCGCCGGCGATAATGGGCGACATATTACAGAGTTTTGCGCTGACCGAGGGGACGGAGAAAGCAAAATGAACTTAAGAAACGAAAACAAAAGAAATCGAGGCAAAGCCAGCCCCCTCGGCTACGGCCGGGCCCTGGGCGGAGGGGCAGAAGGGTCTCACAGCGATGCCAGGGCGCGGGGACTCCCTAGCACGGGGAGCGGACTGCCACCGGGGCTCCCCGCGCCCTCTCCCCCCTGCTGCCCCGCGACGCCGGCTACTCACGGGGGGCGCAGGCGAGGCGGGCGTCCCTCCACGGCGGGCTCTGCATCACCCCCGGCCAGAAGATCGGCGTCCGGCCGGGCAGCTCGGCCAGCGGCTTGGGGTAGCGCCCGGCGGCCACGGCGGCCGCGGCGGCGGCGGCCCCAGGGCTGAAGTAGAGGGCGGGCGGCGGCGGCGGCGGAGGGCTGAGGCTGCCGAAGCGGGGCAGCCCGGCCAGCAGCCCGGCGGGCGCCGCCGAGGAAGCGGAGGGCGAAGCGGAGGCGAGCGCGGCGCCCGGCAGGGGCATGGAGGGCCGGCTGAGGATGTCGTTGATGCCGTGCGGGGTGGCGGCCGAGAGCTGCGGCGGGGCCGTGCCCAGCGCCGAGAGCCCGCCCGCGGCGGCGGCGGAGGCGGCGGGCGCCTTGAGGCCGGGGGAGCCGAGCGGCGGCGAGGGCGAGGCGGAGGCGGGCGAGGCGGAGGCGGAGGAGGAGGAGGCGGGCCCGGCGGGCAGGGGGTACGCGGGGTACAGCGGTGCCTTCATCTCGGCCATGCTGTGCAGGGCGGCCAGCGGCGGGCTGCCCAGCAGGAAGGCGCCCTGCCGGGGCGCGCCGTCCATCTGCCCCAGCGCCAGCATCCCCGTGCCGCCGCCGCCGCCGGCCCGGGGCGGGGGGCCCGGACGGCCCCTAGAGCCGCGGGGCCCCGGCGGCCGGCCCGGGGGTGCCGCCCGCACCGGCGACGCGCATCCAGCCCGCGGGGGCCGCCGCCTCTAGCGGGGAGCTACGCGCCCGAGCGGCGGCCCCGCCGTCCCGCCGGGCATCGGGGCTGCGCCGCGGCGGACGCTGCCGGGGCGGAAAGCGGCGGTGCTGTCGGACACGGCTGTTCGCGTGTGTCTGCGCAGCGGCCGTGCGCCCGCACCGATGCACCGCCGCTCCCGCTGCCCGCCGGCGGCCGGGGGCTCACAGCGGCGCGGGGGCCGCGTTCGCCGTCCCTGCCTCCTCCCCGGCGCCCCGCATCGCTCCCGGCGCGGTTCCTGGCGGCTGCTGTCGGGGCTGCGGGCGCGGCTCGGGGCGCACTGCCGCGCCGCCCCGCTCCTGCCTCCTTTAGCGGGGGCACGGCCGGCAGCGGGCGCGGCGGCGGCGGCGGCGGCGGGGCGGGGGCGGGGCGGCTGCCGGCCCTGCCCACCCGCGCCGCGCCCGCCCTGCCGCCAACTTCGGGCTCGCCCGGCTCCCCTCTGCTCTGCTCTCCTGGCTTTTCTTCTATCTTCCCCTCTGCTCCTTTCCCCCTCTTTTTCCTTTCCAGTTTTCTTTTCCCTCTTTCCTCTTCTTTATCTTTTCCCTTTTCCTCTCTTTCCTTTCTCTTTTCCTTTCTTTTTACTTTTCCCTTTTGTTTACCCTTTTTCCTCTCCTCTTTCTTCTCCCTCTTTCTCCCTTTTGCTTTCCTTTTTTGCCTATCATTTTTTCTCTTCTTTTTTCCTTTTCTTTCTTGCTGTCCTTTTTCCTTTGTTTTTTCCTTTCTCTTTTACGTTTTATTTTTATTTTTAATTGTAGTTTATTTTTCTACATTTGATTTCTTTTCCTTTTACTTTCTCGTTTCCTTTCCTTTTTCATTTTCTCTCTCCTTCTCTTTTTCTTTCCCCTCTCTCATTTAATTCCTCTGTTTTCCCCCATCGTTTTATCTATCCATATTGCTTTCTTTCTTTCTTTCTTTCTTTCTTTCTTTCTTTCTTTCTTTCTTTCTTTCTTTCTTTCTTTCTTTCTTTCTTTCTTTCTTTCTTTCTTTCTTTCTTTCTTTCTTTCTTTCTTTCTCTCTTTCTCTCTTTCTCTCTTTCTCTCTTTCTCTCTTTCTCTCTTTCTCTCTTTCTCTCTTTTTCTCTCTTTCTCTCTTTCTTTCTCTCTTTTTCTCTCTTTCTCTCTTTCTTTCTCTCTTTTTCTCTCTTTCTCTCTTTCTTTCTCTCTTTCTTTCTTTTTCTTTCTCTCTTTCTTTCTCTCTTTTTCCCTCTCTTTCTCCCTTTCTCTCTCTCTCTCTTTATCTCTCTCTTTCTTGGGAGCGACTCCAGAGAGCAGAGCCGCTCGAGTCCCGGTCGGGCCGGGCCTGTCCCGGTGTTTCCTTGGGATGCGGGAGGTGTGAACTGACTCGGCCCTTCCCGCACGCCTCTGGGCCGTGTGGATGCTCTCTGTCCCCGCTGGAACCGCTCTCTGTCTCTGTTGATGCCGCCGTGCCCGGCCCCTCCGGCCCGGCACTGCCCGGAGCTGTACCCCCGAAGCCCCCGGTAACAGCGAGCGCCCTGGGCATTTGTGCCCCCCGGCACCCCCGGCTGCTCACGGCAATTCCCGTAGCCTAAGGCTGCAAGGGGAAAAAAATCCTATTTGTCCCCTAAAGAGCATTCCACGGAAGAGTGATGCAAAATCACCCTGAACAATTTTTTCCCTGTGCTGTCTGTGCCCGTGTGTTGTACCTGCGGGGAACTCTATTTTCCTCGAGCGTGGAAAAACGGGATGATGTGAAAATTAATTTTATTTTAATTACAAATCTTAGCTAAAGCGGAGGAACGTTGGTCCTCTACCTGCAACGATGTTTCCTTCTATTTCTAAATAATCCCTTGTTGCTCTGAATTGTTTTAGTTTGCATTATAAATTTGCTGAATACACTTGGAGAAAGGGCGCGTAGGATCTTGCCTCGCCTTAACTTTGGCGCAGCCACACGAAGGGCACCTCCGGGAAGCTCGAGTTAAACCTCCGAGTCTGAATTTTTTTTTTTTCTTTGTCCTCTTCTAGCTTCGCAAATATTCTAAAAGAAAAACCAAAAAAAGTGCTTTCCTGCTGGTTGCAGAGGAGCCAGCGAGCGCTCGGCCGCGGCCGCCCCGCACGGCCGGCCCCGCAGCCCCAGCGGCGCCCAGGCTCAGCTCCGGCAGCGGCCGTGGGGAGCGGGGAGCCGCCTCTCAAAGAGACCGATTTGCATTTGAATTAGGGGGGAGAGAAATGGAGAGAAATGCTAAACCGCTTTTGTAAGTGCTGAGGCAGGCGCGGAGCGGCCCCGCTGCGTGTCCAGCACCCAAGGGAGCCTCTTTTCCTCCCCGCTGCAGAGGAGACGGTGCGGGGGCAGGGGCTCTCCCCCGGCCCGGACTCACCGCCTCCCTCCTCGCAGCGCCCCAAGGGAGCTCTGCCAGGGCCGGGCACCGGCAGCGGCGGCAGCTTCGGCCGCGGGTCTGCGCTGGCGCGGGGGGAGCGGGCCCTGAGCCCGCAGCGCGGTCCTGCCGGGCCGGCCCGAGCTGCGGTACCGCCCGGGGCTGTGCGGGCCGCGGGCGCTGCCAGCCCCGCGCTCGGTCCGACGGTACCGGCGGTACCGGCCCTTTCCCGGCCCGGCCGGGAGTTCGCCGCCCGGCACCTCTCGGCTTGGCTTCTAGCGGAAGCAAAACAAAACAATCCCTCCAACACAAGAGCTTTTCCTCCTTTCCTACTGTAAGAAAGTGATGGCATATTGAAAAATACGAGTGTTTATTTGGGGGTCTCCTCGTGCAACTTCTTCCCTAAAGATAGCATCGCAGGTGGGATGGCGCCCAGAGGGCTGCCCCTGCATGAGAAACGGATTCAAAAGCAGACACCAGAATTACCTTCTCTCTGTCTTTAACAACGGAAATATTCGAAAATATTAATATTTGGTTCCTTTTCCATACTCAGCTTCTGTTTTCCCTAAGCTAGGGCAGTCAGTCCCTAAGCTAAAGTAGTGAGGCAAAGTAACTCGGGAGGCAGCCGGGGCTGGGCTGCGCCGCTCAGCAGCTGAGCAGCGGGTGGGGGACACCGTGAGCACCCCAGGCAGCCGTGGGGGTGAAAGCCACCCCAGCAACAAACTTCACTAAGAGGGCGAGCAAGCGGCAGTCTGGAAACACCGCAGCCGAAGCACTCCTTGAGCAGATGGGGTCCCTGACCGGACCCGCTGCAGCCGGGGCTGCTCACCAATACCCGGCTGCATTTCACCACTTCCGCGGGGTCTCATCGTAAGCGCTTCGCCGCTTCAAACAGGGCAGCCACGAGTCCGGCAATGAAAGAGAGAACAGCCGCCAGGGCGAGCGCGGGCTGCGGGGAGAGGAGGAGAGAGCGGCCGGCCCGCGGAGAGCAGGGCCGAGCGGCAAGCCGGAGGGGGCCGAGCCGCGAGAGGAGAGCAGCTCCCTCAGAATCCCATCGGGGCCCGGGCCAGCAGCCCGCAGAGCCCCGGGGACGGCAGCGTGGCAGGGACAGTGGGGTCCCGGGCTGCGAGGGGCGGGGGCTGGGGGCAGGGAGGGGCTGAGCTGCGATGGGGAGCCCGGCCTCCCCGGGAGGAAGTAAAGACGCGTGAATGAATTCGCAGGTACACAGGAGAAGCGTTGTCAAAAAAAGGAGAAGAAAAAAAAAATAGAAAGAAAGAAAAAAGAAAAGCTGTTTTGCTCGTTCGAGGCATAGTAAGTACGAGTGCTGGAGCAGCTATGTCTCCAAAATTCACTTCCACCAGAATGGTCCCAGCGTATCTGAAAGGGAAAAAATATCCCAACCAAACCGTAAGGACACCTAGAATTAAAAGGTCGAACGTGCTTAAGCATTGCAGGGTCAGATGTTCTTCAAGCTGCAGAGACGGAACCCGCACTGCAGCATCGCGCCGGGTGCTGCCCTCGAGGGAAGGGCTGCTCTGCCCCACAGAGCTCCTCCAGCCCCCAACAGCAGAGACAGTGAACCCCACCTTGCCCAGCTTTTTCCCTAATAAGTCATCGTGGCTGTGAGAGGAGCCTGTCTGAACTAAATGAAGCAGTCACTTTATTTAGCAAATAAAATATTTTGACACTACCATATGTTCCTCATTGCAAGCAAGCAGCCCGTTAGTTTCCTAAAGTGGTGGATAGGTATATAGACACCTTTTTGTTGTAGCAGCACTGTAAAGCCATTGAATCATTTGTTGTCTGCCCTACATCGTGGGAAGGAGCTGAGCCAGGAAAGCATAATGTTCTTCTGGGCGCTAATTCGAACTCTTAATCAAGATCTGATCACCAAAAAGGAAGACAGAGCATAAAAACGCTATAAAGATTGAATTTTTTTTCTATCTTGGCCATAACTCACCCCACAAATGTGTCCATTATGACATTCACTCTAGCAGGAAAATTGTGATGTTGTTGCAAGATTCCCTACAGCAGAGCTGCTGCCAATGATGATGAATAATCTCGGTCCATATGCTAGCTCTATACATCTCTACAGCACCAGCCTGCTCTCATCCTCTTTCTGCTTCCTCAAAAACACGGAATATTTGAAGAACAGTAAAAGTTAATTAAAAATAGTTAATAGGTTAATCAGACTTGGTCTTATATTTATCTAATGCAGAGCACTGATTCTTTAGTGATGTAGCCTGAGGCATTACCACGAGCCAAGAAAATGAATCAGACATTTAAAGGAGATGTGGAAACGGAAATTTCTTGTAAGACTACAAAATCGGACGCCAATAATACACTAAAATATAATAAATTTATCATTAAAATTCCACGCATGAAATGCCATCCTGTGTCCTTTTGCTAGGTGATAAACTGAGACAAAGCTGGCCAGAAAAATTTTCAGGAGACTGTCCTTTGGGTACATCTCACCTGCTTTTTAGCATTCTTGTTCCAGAGTGTCTGCC